AGGGAAGTAATAAAATAATAAAAATAATAAAAATAAAACATAATAAAATTTTTATTACTTCCCTTCTACGTGACTTTACCGAAAGAACCAAGAAGATGAATCCCTGCAGTCACGAAAGCTTTAAATAAAAAAAAAATCGGTCAAACTCCACGCCTGAGAACAAAAAAAATCGATCAAACTCCACCCCTAACAATAAAAAAAAATCGGCCAAACTCCACCCCTGAGAATATTTTTTCTTGCCAAACTCCACCCGTCAGAATTCCGTTTCACCCTCAACCGCCACAGACGAGCGCGTCACTGACCACGTGATGGGGCTCGCGGGGCAGTGCTGCCCTCTACCGGAGGATGTGGGGTAGAAATATTCTTTGGTTCTTTCGGTAAAGTGACGTCTAAAGATAAAACAATAACTTTAATAATAGCATACTACGACGTTTCGATTGCAACACAAGCAATCGTCATCAGCTATAAATGAAATAGCGACATAGAATCTAACCAGAAAACTCTAGACGGACATACAAGCAGACAGATATCACCAAGATACACAGAGAGAGAGCAACACAGGCACAGAGAGGGGTGATCGTCTCTGTGGCGAGGCCTTAAATAGACAGAGGGGGAGGGGCAGAGGCAGAGAGAGGGAAAGGTTAGAGACATTTACATGTCAATGAGTACGAAGAGAACGCGTATTAAAGTAAGATTAATGTGGGGGAGCTCAGCGGACTTGCTCCGGTGTCAAGACTATCAGAGGTCGCAACCGGGTACCCCCCGATACCCGTACCCTACCCGATACCCGGCTACCCGTACCCGGCCGGGTACAGGTACCCGTTTGCGACCCTGGTGCGGCCGGGTACGGGTAGCCGGGTAGGCCGTGAGTCACTGGTGAGTAACTGTTTGTCACTCATTTCCAACGTCTTGTCTCTTCTCACAATTCAAGTTCCTAGAATCAACCCACTCGCACCTGCAACATGGCTTCATCCCAGAGGTCGCAATCAGGTACCCGATACCCGTACCCTACCCGTACCCGGCCGGGTACGGGTAGGGTACGGGTATTGTGTACCCGGCCGGGTACGGGTAATGTGTACCCGTTTGCGACCCTGGTGCGGCTGGGTACGGGTACGGGTAGGCGGTGAGTCACTGGTGAGTCACCGTTTGTCACTCATTTCCCAACGATACCCGGCCGGGTACGGGTAGCCGGGTATCGGGTAAGGAATCAAAACCCGTTTGCGACCTCTGGCCAAGATCCGTGATGGAGGAGGAGGCTCGTGAAGGACGCTGATGCTGCTGTGGGGGGGGGGGGGGGGGGGTACGTGCCCCCCCCCCCACCAATGATCCGATCGAAATCCCGAATTTCTATCGGATCATTGGGGTTTATTTGTAATAAATCGGTATTTTGCAACCTCCACTGCCACCATGTAGTGCAATAGGGGGGTACAGCTGGTGGTGCATCTACCGCTCATCTCAGTCAGCCAACCCATGGCACCTGCTGAGTCTGTCCCGTGACCTCCTGCACCTAGCCTGGCACAGTAGGGGAGTACAGCTGGTGATGCATCTACCGCTCATCTCAGTCAACCCATGGCACCTGCTGAGTCTGTCCTGTGACCTCCTCCTGCACCTAGCCTGTTCTACAGAGCGAGTGGAGTTTGTGTGATCTCCTCCTGTTCTACAGAGTGAGTGGAGTTTGTATGATCTCCCCCTGTTCTACAGAGTGAGTGGAGTTTGTGTGATCTCCCCCTGTTCTACAGAGTGAGTGAGTGGAGTTTGTGTGATCTCCCCCTGTTCTACAGAGTGAGTGAGTGGAGTTTGTGTGATCTCCCCCTGTTCTACAGAGTGAGTGAGTGGAGTTTGTGTGATCTCCCCCTGTTCTACAGAGTGGAGTTTGTGTGATCTCCTCCTGTTCTACAGAGTGGAGTTTGTATGATCTCCCCCTGTTGTACAGAGTGAGTGGAGTTTGTGTGATCTCCCCCTGTTCTACAGAGTGAGTGAGTGGAGTTTGTGTGATCTCCCCCTGTTCTACAGAGTGAGTGAGTGGAGTTTGTGTGATCTCCCCCTGTTCTACAGAGTGAGTGGAGTTCGTGTGATCTCCCCCTGTTCTACAGAGTGAGTGAGTGGAGTTCGTGTGATCTCCCCCTGTTCTACAGAGTGGAGTTTGTGTGATCTCCTCCTGTTCTACAGAGTGGAGTTTGTATGATCTCCCCCTGTTGTACAGAGTGAGTGGAGTTTGTGTGATCTCCCCCTGTTCTACAGAGTGAGTGAGTGGAGTTTGTGTGATCTCCCCCTGTTCTACAGAGTGAGTGAGTGGAGTTCGTGTGGTCTCCCCCTGTTCTACAGAGTGAGTGAGTGGAGTTTGTGTGATCTCCCCCTGTTCTACAGAATGAGTAGAGTTTGTGTGATCTCCCCCTGTTCTACAGAGTGAGTGGAGTTTGTGTGATCTCCCCCTGTTCTACAGAATAAGTAGAGTTTGTGTGATCTCCCCCTGTTCTACAGAGTGAGTGGAGTTTGTGTGATCTCCCCCTGGTCTACAGAGTGAGTGAGTGGAGTTTGTGTGATCTCCCCCTGTTCTACAGAGTGGAGTTTGTATGATCTCCCCCTGTTGTAAAGAGTGAGTGGCGTTTGTGTGATCTCCCCCTGTTCTACAGAGTGAGTGAGTGGAGTTTGTGTGATCTCCCCCTGTTCTACAGAGTGAGTGGAGTTTGTGTGATCTCCCCCTGTTCTAGAGTGAGTGGAGTTTGTGTGATCTCCCCCTGTTCTACAGAGTGAGTGGAGTTTGTGTGATCTCCCCCTGTTCTAGAGTGAGTGGAGTTTGTGTGATCTCCCCCTGTTCTAGAGTGAGTGGAGTTTGTGTGATCTCCCCCTGTTCTACAGAGTGAGTGAGTGGAGTTTGTGTGATCTCCACCTGTTCTACAGAGTGAGTGAGTGGAGTTTGTGTGATCTCCACCTGTTCTACAGAGTGGAGTTTGTGTCTTCTCTGTCCCTTTGTTCTGCATGGGGGACAGACCCAGCAGGTGCCATGGGTTGGCTGAGACGAGTGGCCGAATCAGCACATGTGCCCTCTACTGTGCCAACTCGCTGTTTTAGCCGTCCGACGCTCCGCTCGTTGTTGTGAGCGTCGCTCCTCCGCCCTTGTTGCTGGAGGGCGACTGCCTCCAACTGCCCAGTAGCGTCCTTCACGA